CACACACAGACACACACACACAGACACACACACACTCACTCACACACAGACACTCTCATAGACACACACACTCACACAGACACACACACACTCTCACACTCACACACACACTCTCACACAGACACACACACACAGACACACACTCTCACACAGACACACACAGACACACTCTCACACAGACACACACAGACACACTCTCACACAGACACACACAGACACACTCTCACACAGACACACACAGACACACTCTCACACAGACACACACAGACACACTCTCACACAGACACACACAGACACACTCTCACACAGACACACACAGACACACTCTCACACAGACACACACAGACACACTCTCACACAGACACACACAGACACACTCTCACACAGACACACACAGACACACTCTCACACAGACACACACAGACACACTCTCACACAGACACACACAGACACACTCTCACACAGACACACACACACACACACACAGACACACAGACAGACACACAGACAGACAGACACACACACACACAAAACAGACATTATGAAGAGCTTGTTTATGGGATCAGATGTTTACAGCAATGTTTGAAATGTTTGATATCAGTCACAAGCTATTAGACAACAGCGCTAAGCGCTTACAAGACATCAGAAAACTCAGCCTGTCAAGAAAATACATGATTATGAAATGCAGAAATGAGCACGTCTTCATGAAAACTGTTCATCATTCACTTTTCAGATCATGGATTTAAAGTTGAGATTTGATGTTCTTCTCTCAAAAATTCTGATATGTGTAGGTCTTTAAAAACAAGCAAAACAAACAAGACCTTATAATGTGCTTTAGGAAAGCATTCTCAAAAGTCAGACAAAGATGAACTTAGATTAGAATACAAATAACACTGCCCTGTGTTTTTAGACAGCATTAACAGTATGAGGTACAAACACTGATTATTACAGAACACATTACACCTCACACAGCAAGCAGTGTTTTCTGCTTAAGCACAGAATCAATGAAGTGCTGTATGATTGTGTCTGTGCTCTTAAAGAATGCCATTGAGTTTGGGGGAAAACAAACCAAAATGTAATTTATAACAGTGTAAATATTGACCTCAGGCTTCACATTGATGAGAGCAGCACTTCACACCAGCAAGCCCAAGAAAACCCTAAAAAACCCTTCACTCTCAAGCAGAGAGAATGAGTTTTAAGTTATATTCACTGGTGAACAGGTAAAGAGACTCACCTTTTTTGCCAAATGCAAATTCACCCGAAGTCTTTGCGAGTTCTTCAAATGAAAACCCACCCGCAGATGCGAATCCAAAAGACAGACCTGCAGGAGGACAGCAAAAACTCACGTCACACGCTAAACAGCATTCAGCAGTTGCTCCTCGCTCACTAACTCATGTGCTTTTATCCTGTCCTCTCTGACACAGCTTACAGATGATCATGATGCTGAAAGCTCTCACGGCTGGGTCTGCATCATGGTTTATCATGGTATCATATATATATATTTCATTTAACTTTTTAAATCACAATGCCCTGTTGGGGCAACTTAATGGCTGCACTTTGTTCTGCACTATGTAAGACAAATGGATTTGTATTTTGTTGTGTTTTCATACTCAAACGATTAGGCCTACAAGCTAGATACAGCTTTTTTGGTTTCGCATCGAATGTTCTTTGACTTTTATACATAATCATTTTGTTTATTGATCTGTTGAAAGCCGTTCTATTTTGAGCTAGATGCCAAAATACATTGAAGGGGTGCATGCAACAGATCTCTTACACGCCAAGACAAATCTCTCCATGTACCGAGAAAGAATATGTTCATGAGTTCTGTGACTAAGCATGAAAATTATCTGCTTGTGATTACAATAAAGGGCTGCATGCTTAATCATAAGCATGTGACCCTGGAGCACAAAACCAGTCATAATGGTCAATTTTTCGAAATTGAGATTCATACATCATATGAAAGATTAATAAATAAGCTTTCCATTGATGTATGGTTTGTTAGGATAGGACAATATTTGGCTGAGATACAACTATTTGAAAATCTGGAATCTGAGGGAGCAAAAAAATCAAAATATTGAGAAAATCTTTAAAGTTGTCCAAATGAAGTTCTTAGTAGGGCTGCACGATAAATCGCATGCGATATTTAACTCGTCAGTGAACAACGGCTCTGTGTAGTTAATGCTGCTCCATGTGAAAGCCAGCAGGTGATGGAGATTTACCGCTGATTACAAATGTATTGTTGGCTATTGCTACAAATATACACCAGCGACTGAAGACTGCTTTTGTGCTCCAGGGTCACACATTAATTATTATCAGGATTTCTGCTTGTCCTGATTAATTATAGCCACGATATTTGCCTGCTGGTTATTTATCCAGAAAATACTTTTTTTATTTGATATTGCCATTATCTTGCTTTGGCAGCAAGCCTCCATAGACGCTCATGCTTGTGGGTGCCAGACGTCAAGAGTTTAAATCCTCCAAATACAGCTTTCCTCATTAAAACCATTCGCATGCGCTCTCTCTACAGTACAGAAGTGCTGCTGAGCTGAAAACACTGGCAAACATGTCAGCTGCAGTTTAGTGATCTCTACTGAGATATTCTGAGTAAAAATAATAGTAATATGTGTCACGCAGCCAGTCTGACTTCTTTCCCGAAGCTGCTTGCGCTCTTTACTGCTACTAAATCCAAACATGAATCCAGACATGGATCTCGCAGCACAGAGGATGCAGAAGAGCATTTATTCAGCAACCACAAAGCAAACATTTCACATGATGACTGGAGTTAATATTAGGAGTCAGACTGCTCTGAGAGAAGCTTGTTAAGGTTTGACTGGCACTCACCTGTAGCTGTGCTGGAGTCGCTCTCACTGCTTCTCTTGGTGGAGAGGTCGATGGGACGGCTGCCGTCAGTCTGACGCTCTTCTGCTCCGCCGCTGCTCGTGTCCACAGCTGCTGCATCATGGGAAGGCTCAGGCTTCACCTGTGTGTCCAGAGCTGGTGCTGTGCTGCAGACCGGACTCACAGCGATGAGAAGATCAGAAACACTCGTCACCTGCGCCTGCTGCTGCAGCTTCTGGAGCTCAGTGCTTAAGTCGTCTGGTTTCTCTGCCTCTGGCTCGGAGTCGCTGCTGATGCCGCACAGGAAGGTGGGAGGCAGCAGGAGGCGTCTGGCTCGCTGCTCCTCGTCTGCTGCATCATGGGAAGGCTTAGGCTTCACCTGTGTGTCCAGAGCTGGTGCTGTGCTGCAGTCCGGACTCACAGCGATGAGAAGATCAGAAACACTCGTCACCTGCGCCTGCTGCTGCAGCTTCTGGAGCTCAGTGCTGAAGTCGTCTGGTTTCTCTGCCTCCGGCTCGGAGTCACTGCTGACGCCGCACAGGAAGGTGGGAGGCAGCAGGAGGCGTCTGGCTCGCTGCTCCTCGTCTGCTGCATCATGGGAAGGCTTAGGCTTCACCTGTGTGTCCAGAGCTGGTGCTGTGCTGCAGTCCGGACTCACAGCGATGAGAAGATCAGAAACACTCGTCACCTGCGCCTGCTGCTGCAGCTTCTGGAGCTCAGTGCTGAAGTCGTCTGGTTTCTCTGCCTCCGGCTCGGAGTCACTGCTGACGCCGCACAGGAAGGTGGGAGGCAGCAGGAGGCGTCTGGCTCGCTGCTCCTCGTCTGCAGTCGGCCGCTTCTCCCACACCAGACTGACCTCAGAGTCTGCAGACACAAGCATGCTCTGATGAAACGCCCAGCATGAGAGAACGGACCAACACACACAGAGCTCATTAGTGCTGCGTGTGTGTGATAAACCTTTAGGATAATCTGATGTCAATTACACCTCACACCACGTACATAACTCTCCCACTTTGGCCTCGAGCGGACATCACCGTCGAGCCCTGATAACTAGAGTAGTCTAGAGCAGTGGTTCTCAAACGTTTTACAGTCGCGCAACCGCTCTCTCACACTAGATACTAAATATCTTAAAAACGTGCACATGTAACGCATACCTTTAACTCATCATTTGTGTGCAAGCTATCGTATATTTTTTAATAAATTGCACAGCGTTTAATGAGATGGGTGTGCTTGATATGATTTGCGTAACTGCGATGTTTGGCCGTATCCGAGAGAGTCTTAAATCGTTCTCTGTGGACAGTGTGTGGATATTGTTCTTTACGCCAGTAAGTGCTGAGAACGCAAATGTACGTTGTTGCGAAGGGCATCAAAGTCTTTACAGTGCGATTAACAGTAAAGCAGCTGCCACAAAACCTGCCACCCGGAGACAGCACCCAATCAGAGATACACGTGAACAGACCAACCCTCTACATTGTGAGTAAATCACTCGCATATGCGACTAAATCTTACTCTGGGCGACTAAATAATGTCTAACATTAGCCATTGGCTAATAAATTCTTAGATTTTACACGCCAGTATGTGTGTGAGAGGCATTCAACAGATTTTCACTCGATAAACACGCAGACTGAGCGCTTAAGAGTTTCGCTCTCCGTCAAGCGATCTGTACTTGGATGCGCTCAATGGATCATGTCATGTACTCAATGGATGCGCAGTATGTAGCATGCAGCGCACCTGTATTAGACAACGGCAACCCCGCTCTTCTACCTGTCTGGCACCTTAAACAATATTAAGAATTCATTTGCAAAAAGAGAGAACATTAACCTCACTCTCTTCACCTGCCTAAAGATCTCTGGCTTCTCCTGAACACAACCCTCCTCTCCGTTTACTCTTATTAGCTTACCTATCTGCCACCTTACCTTTATTATTTCTCCTCTTTTATTCCATAATGGAGCGAGCATCATGTGGTACGCAAGCGTCGTGCCTGTCTCAGCATCTCTCACTGTTTACTCTGATTGATGCGCGTGAGCAAACAGTGCAATTCTACATTCATTTACCTGTTGGCCACCTTACCTTATATTTTGTTCCTCTCTTTAATCTGTAATGATGCACATCTCTCACTGTTTACTCTGATTGATGCACGTGAGCAAACAGAGGAGCATTTATGACTGATTTTTTTTTGGTACACTAGAGGAGGCAGGTTGTTTATATTAGGGCTGTCAGTCGATTAACATTTTTAATCTAATTAATTACGTTTCGATTAATTAATCGAATTAACCACAAAATAAATTTGACTGAAAATACCCACAAAAGATTATTTAAAGATATTTTCTGTGTTCAATTAGAAAGTATCAAGTAGACATTACAAATTGTAGCTTTAGAAATATTTGATTTGATTCAACAAAAACATTTATTACACAAACATTTAGGCTACAACGGCCTAACATGAACTATGGAACATAGAAGATAATTTGAGAAACATCTCAGTATTGTTTGTTCATACAATGAAAGTCATTGGTAACCAAAACAGCTTCGTTACCAACAGTCTTCAAAATACCAAAGTCCCTTTAAGGGTATTCTATAGTCTTTGAAAATACCTTCTTTTGTTCCAAAAAAGAAAGGTTTGAAACAACATGAGGGACGTGAGAGTAAATGATGACAGAATTTACATATTTTGGGTGAACTATGCCTTTAATATTATTATTATTACTATTATTAATTAAATGATACTCTAAATAAGAAACTAAATCTGCCAGCAGGTGGCGGTAAATGTAATTCATTGATTCGTTCAAATGTCTGATTCATTCAGGAATGAAGTAAACATCTGTCTTTATGAATGGGTCTTTGAATCATTGGTTCACACGATTCGTTCAGACACTAAACACCGCTGTGTTGCATGGAGACATGCAACAGTTCTGCTATGGCTTTAAAGGTAATATATTCTTTGCAAAATTGAGCAAAAGCACATAATATTGTGTTTAAAATATAACACAATATCAACTTCTTATTCACTGAACTGTTGTATAAAATCACATTTAAACTTGTGATATTCGGGACAAAATCAGCACTAATAGCCTATTGCTCTCGCTGCTCTAGTGATATCGCATGATATAAATATGAGACAAAAACTCATACAGGGGCATTTTTGCCACAATATCTTGAATTTTAGGGCATAACTGCATTTATGGAGTTGTTGCCCTGCATCATATTTTGTGAACAGTTAACTGTATGAAATGTTTGGGGGCGGGGCCAGTGCGTTAACTGCGTTAAAATATTTTAATCGCGTTATTTTTTCATAACCAATGAATTAACGCGTTAAACTGACAGCCCTAGTTTATATATTTTGCCTGTGAGAAACATGTTCAGCTGAATGTTATTTAAGAGTGCGATATAATTAAATGAACGGTAAATTTCAGTATTTTGTTCACGTACCCCCTCCGCGTACCCCAGTTCGAGAACCACTGGTCTAGAGCAACCTACCGTGATCAGACGCTCCATCAGCTCCATCCGCATACAGCTTACCCTTCAGATCCCTCACTGCTCTCTCAAAATCCTCATCTGAAAACAGCGGTGTGAATCTGAGGTTAGTCCTTTCTCACAGTGACACAAAACACTTCAATCAGAAGATGTGAATACCGTTAAAGATTTAACAATGACAGTGTACAGAAGTGCAGCTCTGATGAACTAAACTGGACTTCGGTCATATGTTTTACCGTTAAATAGCGTGTGGATCTTACCATCGCCGTCATCGTCGCTGACGTATCCTGGACGGTTTTTGTAACAGAAGAACGTAGGAGGAAGCATCAGACTGGCAGCCAGCTTTGCTTGCTCTATTGTTGGTTTAAGCTCAAATACGATCTCGATATCATCATCACACACGTCCTGAGCGCTGCTCTTCTGCGCTGACGGAGAGGAAACTGAGCAATAAACAAACAGAAACTAGATTAACTAAAGCAACAACAACTGCTAAACAGATAGTTCATCCCAACACGGAAACTGCTGTCATCTGCTCGCTCTCAGGCAGGTCTACAGCTGTGTGACTGACAAATGTGATGGTTTCAGTCACTGGGGTCCAAGCAACATTAGTCCCATTGACTTTATTCTGTACTGAAACACAAACCCGGAGATGATCTCAGTTTGTGTTCTACAGAAGGAATGAATTCTGGACTGAGTTTTCATGTTTGGTGAACTATCTCTTGAAGAAGCGCTTTCAAAAGCAATCGGAGTCATTTCCACATTTAAACTTGTGATATTCGGGACAAAATCAGCACTAATAGCCTATTGCTCTCGCTGCTCTAGTGATATCGCATGATATAAATATGAGACAAAAACTCATACAGGGGCATTTTTGCCACAATATCTTGAATTTTAGGGCATAACTGCATTTATGGAGTTGTTGCCCTGCATCATATTTTGTGAACAGTTAACTGTATGAAATGTTTGGGGGCGGGGCCAGTGCGTTAACTGCGTTAAAATATTTTAATCGCGTTATTTTTTCATAACCAATGAATTAACGCGTTAAACTGACAGCCCTAGTTTATATATTTTGCCTGTGAGAAACATGTTCAGCTGAATGTTATTTAAGAGTGCGATATAATTAAATGAACGGTAAATTTCAGTATTTTGTTCACGTACCCCCTCCGCGTACCCCAGTTCGAGAACCACTGGTCTAGAGCAACCTACCGTGATCAGACGCTCCATCAGCTCCATCCGCATACAGCTTACCCTTCAGATCCCTCACTGCTCTCTCAAAATCCTCATCTGAAAACAGCGGTGTGAATCTGAGGTTAGTCCTTTCTCACAGTGACACAAAACACTTCAATCAGAAGATGTGAATACCGTTAAAGATTTAACAATGACAGTGTACAGAAGTGCAGCTCTGATGAACTAAACTGGACTTCGGTCATATGTTTTACCGTTAAATAGCGTGTGGATCTTACCATCGCCGTCATCGTCGCTGACGTATCCTGGACGGTTTTTGTAACAGAAGAACGTAGGAGGAAGCATCAGACTGGCAGCCAGCTTTGCTTGCTCTATTGTTGGTTTAAGCTCAAATACGATCTCGATATCATCATCACACACGTCCTGAGCGCTGCTCTTCTGCGCTGACGGAGAGGAAACTGAGCAATAAACAAACAGAAACTAGATTAACTAAAGCAACAACAACTGCTAAACAGATAGTTCATCCCAACACGGAAACTGCTGTCATCTACTCGCTCTCAGGCAGGTCTACAGCTGTGTGACTGACAAATGTGATGGTTTCAGTCACTGGGGTCCAAGCAACATTAGTCCCATTGACTTTATTCTGTACTGAAACACAAACCCGGAGATGATCTCAGTTTGTGTTCTACAGAAGGAATGAATTCTGGACTGAGTTTTCATGTTTGGTGAACTATCTCTTGAAGAAGCGCTTTCAAAAGCAATCGGAGTCATTTCAAACCAACAAGTGTCAAAGCATGTAGCAGACTAAAGTACTCTGACCGTTTCATTGTCAACACACTTCACAGCCAACGTTAAATCAGTAACTCCACAAAGACACACACATGCAATCACTCATCAAACCTACAGCCGTCATACGTCACTCACACTCATCAGTCAGCTCCTCACACATCAGTACGGACTCTCTCACGGTGAGCCACATTTAAATACAAAGGGAAAACAAGAGTTGAGTGACATGCTGATGGGGAAAATGAGTGAACGATGACTTTGGTTTCCACTATATTTACTTGTGCTGCCAGTACATTTACTGCAATATACAGGACAAAAGTCCATACACCACAAACACTTCTCGCTGCATCTCTTTCAGGTTTCTCATACTGAAACCATTGTGTGCCATCAAGATCACACGAAGTTTGTGATTCAGATCGTGGATTGTGATTGTGTGTCACAAGATCGTGATATTTTGGGAAGATCACCCATCCCCTATAGATGAATCCTTCACAATAACATCTATTACATGCATTTAGGAAACAAATAGAGGGAACTTCCATTTAGTGTCAAATCTAACAAAAATATTCTGTTTCTAGTTACGTAAAATAAGCTCATGTGATGCGTGCTGTTTAGTGTCTGCCCCCTTATTTCAAAGCAGCGTGTGAATGTGGTCCCAAAAAAAAGTTTTCAGGATAAATATCCAGCGCAAATATCAACAATTATTTTTAATTAAATGACCTCGGCATTGCAAGCGCCATGATGATCTACTCTTTGAGCTCACGCAAGCCCCTTACAAAGCAACAAAACAAGCGTGTTATTCTTTGAACTGTCCACCTGCCACAGCTTCTTCAGCAGAAACTCAGCATTTCTTCCATTCAATTAATCTGAAACTATGTAGATGAAGAAACTAACTTCTGTTAGTGACTGAAAAACACATCTTAAAGCCCTATTCGCATGGGATTAGTATTATCTGGGGACCTTTCGTGTGGTGCATTCGCACGGGATAAGCAAAGCCTGTGATTTTACTCGAATTTACTGACTTATCTCCCAGATACCCGGATGTCAAGGCTTTGAGAGTCCCGTTCTATGGTCCAGTTAGATGGATTTAAAAAAAATAAACTAATATAGTTGTGCGCGCGGTGTCATTTACATTTCACCAGGTTAAAATAATATCTCAAGCTTTATGCTTTATGAAGACACATTAACCTCAAAACCTTTTCAGCTTTCTCTTTCTGCAAATTGTATGGTGTAGCGATATGATGACAGCACCCAAAATACTATACAAATACAAACAAAATACAAACACTCCAACGCAGATCCATTCTTCACGAAAGATGGATAAAAAGGCGCACAGCAAACAAAAACCTCGAAAAATGATATACGACCCGCCAAATGCTGGCCAAATCACAGAGATGCCGATTCCCTCCGCAATTATTACAAATGACTGGAGGTCACCAGGTAATACTAATCCCGTGCGAATAGGGCTTAAGACTCAAAACCTACTCAAACAATCAAAGCGGCACTGCTTCCACCAGTCACCCTGACAATCAAAGTCCAGCAACTTGCAGAAACTTCAATGTAGTGAAGAATTTTCCAAACAATATTTGATCATCATTGTAGAAAGGATGCCATGACTGTGTTCTGCAAGACCTAATGATTTCTTCATCAAACCACAGTTTGTACACTGAGATATTAAGCTTAAAGGAACACTCCACAATTTTTGAAAATAGGCTCATTTTCCAACTTCCCTAGAGTTAAACAGTTGAGTTTTACCGTTTTCGAATCCATTCGGCCGATCTCCGGGTCTGGCGGCAGCACTTTTAGCTGTAGCTTAGCATAGATCATTGAATCTGATTAGACCGTTAGCATCTCGCTCAAAAATGACCGAAGAGTTTCTACATTTTTCCTATTTAAAACTTGACTCTTCTGTGGTTACATCATGTACCAAGACCGACGGAAAATGAAAAGTTGTGATTTTCTAGGCCGATATGGCTAGAAACTATACTCTCATTCCGGCGTAATAATCAAGGAACTTTGCTGCCGTACCATGGGTGCAGCAGGCGCAATGATATTACGCAGCGCCTGAAAATAGGCTAACTTCCGTCAACATAACCAACTACACAAACTTAGTGCAGGTCACGTTGGAAGTTACCTAGCTGGGGACTATTTTCAGGCGCAGCATAATATCATTGCGCCTGTGTGCACATTTAAAATGGGAAATCACTTTACAAGACACTCACTGCGGAGTACCTGAAGGACTTTGAAGCCACTGGTGCACCCCAATTGCAAATTCTACTGAAATTTTAAACAAATGAGTAAAGGTTAGCAGATTTCAGACCATGCACACGTCTGAGTAATGTCGGGTTATCACATCATTCAGCCAAGGTCAGGTCTCCCGGCTCATGCCAGTCAGTGAGAGCTCTATGTGTCACAGTAAATGGTGACCTGAAATACCTCGGGCTTCAAACTGGTTGGCTGATGTGCAGGTCCAAAAAGCCATAGGATTATTTTTGAAAAGCCTAAAATCCAAACCTAAAAAATAATGTTATGTGTTAAAGTTTTTTGCCATTTTAAGAACTTGAATCCATCTCAGAAACTGTGGATGAAAATCAAGTCCATATGTGACCCTGGAGCACAAAAGCAGTCTTAAAGGGTTAGTTCATCCAAAAATGAAAATTAGCCCATAAATTACTCACCCTCAAGTCATTCTAGGTGTATTTGACTTTCTTTTTTCAGACGAATCCAGTCGGAGTTATATAAAAAATTGTCTTTGATCTTTCAAGCTGTTTAATGCCACTCAGCAGGTGTTGCATGCATCAGTCCAAAAGAACTTAAATAAAAAGCGCCCATCCATTAAAAAAAAAAAGTGTCTCACACGGCTCCGGGGGGGTGAAAAAAGGCCTTCTGTAGCGAATCGATGCGTTTTTGTAAGAAAAATATCCATACTCAAAACGTAATAATCACTCTAATCTAGCTTGTGCCAACAGTTGTACACGGAAGCAGCTGCAGAAGAATGAGGTATGAGGTCAGCATTGTGCATGCGCCGCTCAGAAGTGACGAACGCGGAAGCGCATTCATACGTCATCAGCCCGGAGATGCTTCTGTGTACAACAGTGTGAGCGCAAGCTACATTAAAGTGATCATTACGTTTTGAATATGGATATTTTTCTCACAAAATGCATCGATTCACTACAGGAGGCCTTTGTTCACCTCCCAGAGCCGTGTGAGACACTTTTAATGGATGGCCGTTTTTTATTTAACTTCTTTTGGACTGAAGCACTGCAACACCCGCTGAGTGGCATTAACCAGCTTAAAAGATCAAAGACAATTTTTTATGTAACTCCGACTGGATTCGTCTGAAAGAAGAAAGTCATCTACACCTAGGATGACTTGAGGGCGAGTAATTTATGGGCTAATTTTCCTTTTTGGGTGAACTAACCCTTTAAGTCGCTTGGGTATATTTGTAGCAATAGCCAAAAATACATTGTATGGGTCAAAATTATTGATTTTTCTTTTATGCCAAAAATCATTACGATATTAAGTAAAGATCATGTTCCATGAAGATATTTTGTAAATTTCCTACTGTAAATATATTAAAACTTAATTTTTGATTAGTAATATGCATTGCTAAGGACTTCATTTGGACAACTTTAAAGATGATTTTCTCAATATCTTTATTTTTTTGCACCCTCAGATTCCAGATTTTCAAATAGTTGTATCTCAGCCAAATATTGTCCTATCCTAACAAACCATACATCAATGGAAAACTTATTTATTCAGCTCAATTTCTCAACTAGAATTATCCTTATGACTGGTTTTGTGGTCCAGGGTCACATATACGACAAAAATATGGGCTTAAATAAGGCATAGGCAACATAGTGCAAGGATGTTTTACAGCAATAACCTACACAATAAGAATGTGTAGAATGTCCTCATTAAGAAAGTAAATAAACTAAATAGAACCTAAACCAGCGATGCGCTTAGCTCCAGCCTTGGTTGAACACACCTGAAGCAGCTAATCATAATCTTTAGGACTACTTAAACTGCAGGCAGGTGTGTCTGGAGCAAGGTTGGACAGCTGTGAGCTAAACACAGAGGTACAGTTTTATTCATAACTATGGGTCACAGAACATAGCTTACTTCTTGTTGGTATGCTGAAAGGAGTCCCAACCGATGACTGGCTGGTCACTGCTGGTCCAGAGGTTTTCAGTCTCGAGGCACCCGTTTCCTCATCTTCTGAACTGGGAATCACAACCGGAGATTTTTCTTTTGATGGCGAAGGGCTTCCAAAGATCTTCTGCACAGAGTCTGACCCAAAGACGAACTTTGGAGGAGAGACCACATTCTTGGTGCTTTGAGGTGTCTGATCCAGTTTAGGACTGCCTTCCTCAGAGAGTCCGGTACGTTCTTTTGTGGTTTCCTCAAGTACAGCAACTGCAGCCTGGCCACAAAGCGTCTCCTGGGTGGAGGCAGGTACTCTCGCAGAAAATGGGGTTAGTAGAGTGTCTTTTTCCTGTGCAGTCCTCGCCTCTTCGAAGATTTCTTTGAAAGCACTTGCAGTTTCCTGCAGTTTAAATCGAACTGCCAGCTGTTCCACCTTGCCCTGCCCTTCAGCAAAATCAAAGGCACTCCAGATCCACGCTTTCTCGGCTCCTTTCATGGGCTCGAGCTTGATATTGGAAGCAATCCAATGGTTTGCACACAGTTTGAGGACCTGGTCCCGTCTCATCACGAGTCTGACGCGCTTTGTTTCATAGTGTTGTAGTATTTTAAGGTCTCCTATACCTCGTTCCTTCCACTGACTGAGATCTTTATCATAGCGGTATAATTTGGCACGGTGACTGAAAAGGACTTGCTCGTTCTCCTCTCCTGTTGAGACTTCAACAAGATCAGGCAATGGCACAACAGGCTCAAAGTACTGACCATCTCGCTCTTCCTCCTGCGACGCTTCTTGCTCATCATCTGTGCCAACAGAAGCCTGGCTCTGGTTTAGCTTAGATGGAGACTTAGAGGAACTGAGAATAGGCTGAAAACTGAAACTGAAGCCTGTGGACGATTCGCCAAAGCGGAATAAATTTTTAGCTACTGGATCAGGCTGCAAAGGAGTATTGCACACAGAGGAGCTGGCATAGTCCTCGTGCACTTCCTCACGAAAATCGTAATTATCCCATTCTAAAGTGGGTGCGGTGCTCTCAGAGTCGAGCTTAACTACAATTGCAGAGGTACTATGACTTGTATCGCAACTTTTGTCATCCTTGTTTTGGCAAGTCAAGAATGATTTGAGGTCCTTAAGCCCAGATTTCATTTCTTCAGCTTGCTTTATAAGCTGGGCCGTTCTGCCAGTGTTCACGAGCTTGTGAGGTGTCTGCAAAGGAATATCCAAAAGCAGTCGTTGACACTCCTCGAATTTAAGCTTGAACTCTTCTGCAAGCTCAGGTGTTTTGAATTTTGCCGCAAGTTGTTCTAATTTGGCATCTCCATCTGAGAAGTCACTGGCCATCCACATCCAGGCTCGATCCGAGCCAGAGAGGGGCTTTAAGTTCATTGTGGTTGTGATCCAATGATTAGCACACACTTTAAACACCTGCTCTCTCCTCATAAGAACTCGAAGTCTCCCGTTCTGATTATTCTTGAGCAGTTTAAGGTTGCCGACTCCTCTTTCTTTCCATTGGTTTGTTTCCGTATCAAATCTGAAGAGTTTGACACGCTGTGAATACAAGACTTTCTCATCTTCTTCGCCTGTAACAAGGTCGACCTTCTCCGGCATCTGAACAACGGGCTCAAACTGAATATCGTCATTCTCCTCGGTTTTGTACATTTCATCATCTTGATCGACAGAGGTGTCGGCCTTGGAGCTGGAATGAACTCCTGTAAAGAGCTGCTCGCCAGCCCCTGCAAAGCCTTTGAAAGCGGGATCATTCTGGCCAAACTGAAAACTGCCTTGTGACTTTGCCAAGTCAGCGAAACTAAAGGTGTTAGGCTTTTCAGTAAAGAGGGGATTATTATCATGACTATCAGCATCTACAGACTGTTCTGAGGTACTTAGGGCTGCCTCTTTTTCTTTCTCTTTCTCTTTGTGAAGCTCAGCAATATTTTTGAGGAGGTCAGATGCAGACCCATTTTGGGACTGTTCATCTGATGGTTTTGCCTCAGATTCTGCAATGCCAAACTTAAATCCACCAGCAGGCGCCGACATGGAAAACGAAAAACTGGAACTGCCTGATGACTTTTCAGCCTCAGTTGTGGAGGACTCAAACTTGAAGCCTTCTGAGGATGCTTTATCCTGACTTGTGCCAAACTGAAAAGCAGGGCCTGGATTGAAATTGGCTTTAAATCCTGTCGCAGCAGGTTGGCTGCTAGAACTACCAAAACTGAAGGAAAAAGAGGAACTTGATGGTGCAGCAGAGGTCTTGTTTTTCATATTTGGGTTTGCTGTCTGACATGAAACACAATGGCTGGATGAACCTTCGTTTCTTACCAGGCAAGTCTCACAATCCCACTGTCCATCTTTTTTACCAAACATGGCAGCTAGCCCACCTTGTGATGTTGCTTTACTTTTTTCAGTGCGGCAGGGGGCTTGGCAAGAAACACATTCAGTTGCTGAGGCATCATTCCTCACTAGGCAGGAGTCACAGTCCCACTGACCCTCTTTCTTGGTAAACTGAGCACCAAATCCAGTGCCAAATGGGACTGCTGGACCTGCTGACACTTTCTCTTGTTGTGGTGCATCAGACTGAATTGTTTTCTTCTCAGCCTGAGCTACAAAGTCAGCAGATGTGACGGCAGCATCCTTCGATCCATTGGCAAACTGAGCACCAAATCCAGTGCCAAATGGGACTGCTGGACCTGCTGACACTTTCTCTTGTTGTGGTGCATCAGACTGAATTGTTTTCTTCTCAGCCTGAGCTCCAAAGTCAGCAGATGTGGCGGCAGCATCCTTCGATCCAAACTTAAAAGAAACTGGTATTTGAGATCCAAAAATGAAGCCCTTTGAGCTGACATCAGTGCTGGAGTTGTTCTTAGCAGAATCTCCAGAAAGTCCAAAAGAAAACAATTTGGCAGGAGGAGCGGCAGGGCCAGAGCCTTTGGGTTCCTCTACAGGTTTGACCTGTGCTGTAGAAGGAGCTGCACTGCTGCAGGCCACGCATACCGCAGACGTGGGAGCGTTTCTTACACAGCACATGTCACAGTCCCATTCACCCGCCTTCTTGGAAAACAGGGTTTTGAGATCCACTTCTTTGGATGAAACCTGAGGCTGTGGAATTTCGCTTTCCTTTTCAGCCAGTTGGCCTTGTGGGGATTCCGAAAGGAATTTTTGAGCCTCCTCAAATTTAACATCTTCTTCTACATGGGTGCTATCATTGTCACTCGCCCCACTTTTCTCTTCCCGAGGCTCTGAATTCCCTAATGTTGGCTTGGTTCCACTTGTAAAGCTAAATCTTTGGTCGCTGTTGCCAAAAATACTCATCTTGCTCTGAGCACCATCAGTGAATGAAAATCCTGCTGCACTTTTACTTCCAAAGGTAAAGACTCCGCTCTGGCTAGGCAGCTGGTCTTGGGTCTGATGTTTTGTTTCTGACGGCACCTCCACTTTGGGAGGAATATCTGATGTCAGAAGTCCCAAGAGGCTTTCACTATTTTTCCCCTGAGCAGAGGAGAAGGTGAAATCGCCATCATTGGACTTGAAATTGGATTTGAACTTGAACGCAGTTGATGCTGTTGTTGTTGGCACAGCAGCTACTCCTCCAAAGTTGGGAACCTTAGCAGGTTCACCTGTGAACTGCGGCCCAAAACTCATCTTGGGGTCGACAGCCTTGCTTTCAGTGCTCCTGGATGGCTGTGTGGATGTAACAGCACATGGCTTAGTGAAATATCCAGGCTCTGGCAATGTTGGATTGACTGTGGGCTGAGGAACATTATGACCATAATACTCCTCACTGTATGGGGAGAGTAAGGATGTAGCTGGTGACTCAAACCGGATGGGAGGACCGAAGACTTGCTCTTGAGGATACATGCATGCGGGTGTTGACTGGAGAGGTGGGGTGTGTGTTGATTGTTGGTAGGCATACATATGTTGCTGAGGAGGAAGACGATTCATCCCATATACTGGGCCCTGCAGAGGCAAACAAACAATACTTTGATATAGATTCTCGGCTTCATTACTGTAAGGGTAGAATATTTTGTGTTTACATGGAAATCCCTCCAGTACCTTTGTTGGTGTGACATTTGCAGCGGTGCGCAGAAGATACTGTGAATTATATGCTGGAGACTGGTTGTAGTACACAGAGGGACCTGTAGTAGCAACTGAGACAAATAAAAGGAATGGTTTAGGCATGTCTCAACTACTGTACACACAAGTGGTTCTTTAGTTTGTTTGCATAAACAAAGCACATACATGGAAGAAAAACCTGCACAAGCCTCATTGTTTCTCACATCTACTTTTGTGAGATTGTTAGGGGTGACCCAGAATAGTCGACGATTCGATGCTTCGATAGGAGGAGCCCGATTCGACTACCAATCTCACAGTCGAATATTCGTGGGGTGTTATGATCATGCCATTTGGGGGAGCTCAAATGTCTGATTTCACATAGAACTACTGGTTTTCTCCCAATAAGTTAATATACAGCCTATTAAAATAATGCTGTAAATAAGAATTTGAAAAGAAAGAAGCTTCAAATAAATATTTTAACGCGTGTGAATAAATCCAACCACCCCTATAGATTAAAGTTTCACTTTCTATAGTCCGTGACCGACAGAGGAGCATCTTGGCGGCAGCGATTTAAAACTTTAACAAGACTCAAACTGACACAGACAGAGTGAAAGACTGGATTTTTTCTATCAGGTAGGGTACAAGTGAAAACATTTCAGCCGGTTTATATATGTCGTGTATATATTATTTATCTCGTATAAGATGCATGTGGTTGAGTTGCGCTGCAGTAAAGCGCTTCATTGTAGTACTACGGTGATTATCTCTTCAGCGCACAGCACGAGCAGGACAAACAATGCTGAATATTAATAACTATGACTGGGACTGTCATATACATAACATTATAATGAGAACACTATTATAATAAAACGCTGTGAAATTTTAGAGTTTAGTTGCCGTGTTTCTGCACGTTGTTGCATTAAGAGCACGTCCACAAAAGGAGTTCATTCAGAGCTGCACAGACACGTTCCATGCATTCGGGGCATCTTGTGCAGATAGCCTATAATTCGTAATATTAACGTTATGTTGTATAAATAACGAAACGTATTCTATATGAGATAAATGATGAGTTAAATCCCACTGATTAAAAACCTGCTGCTTCATTCTACTGGTCATCTTCAGCGCTCGCAGCTCAAAACAGATATGCAGAACATTAATAACTACTGTCATATACATGACGTTATAACGAGAGCACTATTGTAAAAAATGTTGTGAATTCTTAGGGTTTCGCTGACATTTAATGTTAACTATCTTTTAATTAAAACAAAACATTTACCCCGTTTGTATCTGCGAGGCGTCCGTTACACATTTTCCCTATGTGTTAACGTAATTATGACTGTCGAATGTCTGACTTGACTCTTGGTAATGTATTTTGCCCCACCCCCAAACATATGATTCGACTATCAGTCGAATATCGGCAAGATTC